GCACGAGCTGAAGTTTCTCCGACGTCATGTCGGCCACCGCCAGCACTGGCAGCACGTACGGCGACCAGCACCTAGCGCAGGATTGACTTCAAGAAATGTCTTGCGAGAGGACGATCACGGACATGCGCGTCACGGCAATCTCGTAGCGAAGACTCAAAATAGCATCACGCCGCGCGCCGGGGGCCAATTTCTTGACGGCCACGAGGTCCTCGTTGTACACGGCTTTGACAACAACGCCTTGGCCACCCGCCCCAATCCCTCCGTTCGCGACGAACTTCAAGTCTTGCGCCGTGATCTAAGCAATCGGCAATGTCATTTAGACGACAGATGACGAGACGCACCGAAGCGACACGGTTGTAGATGCGGTCGTGCAGGGTCTGGGCAAGCGCATGGTGCCCGAGTCGCACGGCGCCGGCGAGGATCGTCGCCCCGTTCTACCATAGAATGACGACTTGTACGTCAAGTCGAACGATGTGTATGTGTACCGGGAACGGAATTGACGTGTCGGCGCCCGCGACGAGCAGCATTTCGACGGCAGCCACATGGTTGCTCGCCACGGCAAGGACGAGGGCCGTGCAGTGGTTCTAGTGACGATGAAAAGTTGCCCACTACGAGAGGATGGATGGTAGGCACCTTGTCGAACGCATCGAGGTTGGTTGTCGGGTTGGCGAGAAGCATTCCCAGAATGCTCGTGTGGCCGAGCGCCGCGGCGAGATGCAGCGGGGACGCAGCGGTCTACATTGGTCGCTGAGCAGGCTCTGAAAGAAGCATGCGTACCATGTCTGCAGAACGAATGACAAGCCCTGCGCGAAGAAGCTTCCACGCACACCCGTCTTCGCTGGCGGCCGCCGTCCGCGCCAACGCCGAGTAGCCGTCCTGTGCGTACTTTGATCAGTCACTGTATTGCCAAGGCACGAGGCACCGACTGCGTCAAGTGCGTTCTTGTCCAAGCTCGGGTCGCTGAGCAAGAGGTGGAGAAGAGCCGGGTCTTTGCGTTGTACGGCATAGTGCAGCGGCAGCCGACCCGCCTAGACACAGCAAACGTTGCTACAGGTATCGATTTTTGTGGGCTACCTCGTGGGACTCTGCATCCAGCAGCTGCTTTGCGTAGTTGAGGTTCCCAGCATTGACGGCCATCCGCAACTAGCTCGCATAGAACCGTCAAATACGGTTATACGAACGAGATGGAAAGCGCTCGTACAAGACGGTCAAAGAGCAGCTGGGCAACCTCGGTGTGACCGCCGGCGCGGGCCCGTTCCCACGGTGTCGTGCCGTCCTTGCGAGTACACGCTTTGAGCCTCGGGATTGAAGAGACTACGTACGTTGGCTTGGCGATCCACCGACGCATTGGCACCGAGTAGAGCTTGGACGAGGCCGACATGACCTGCCGTCGCGGCCGTGTGCAGCGGCGTCGCGCCAGTCTAGTCGATGGTCAGAGGTGTGACTAGAACGTTGATGGATAAATACGTGGTCGGGGATGTCCACGTCGACCAGCGCCACGAGAAGCTGTGAAACCATCGGGAGGTTCCGTGCACTCGTCGCATAATGCACGGGTGTCACGTTCAACTACAAGAGCGTCACGTCGTCCGTCGAAGGGAACGTCAGCTCTACCTCGTTCTCGCAGTAGTTGGGGTTGACGCCGGTACACACGAGGCGGGCGACTTCCGTCGCGTTGTTGTCGTACACGGCGCACCAGAGAAAGAACTATTTTCACTTGGCCTTCCCGTGCAAAATCCATTCCATACCTCTTTGTCCATGGTGTATTGCCGCTCGGTGCAAAAAACGCGAATGATCCTCCGACGATATTGCAGTTGACATTGCAGTAGCACGGTAGAGTGTGGTACCAATTGCTCGGGATTGTTGCGGCGTGCACTGGGCCAGCTGCGGTGGTCCACTGGTACCTTTGATGTTAGAACGACACAAACCGAAATATGACAAAACAGGGTGCAATGCAAAACCCTCAAACTAAAGTAGTGATTTAATGACAAATCCGGATCGAGCTAAAACACATGTGTCTAATCGCATGTCATGCGTGGCATGGAAACAGCGCTGGTGTGGTGCATGGTATAAGAGTGTGCCATTGACATGCCACTGTGTCCATGCTAAAACCAAGTGAATCTCTGCGAATTTTACTCGCACCTGTCGACTGCACTCTACCCGAATCTGTCAATATTCGTCCCTTTCTCTACATTTGCACCCTATTTTGTCGTTTTCGCCACTGGGACATGTATCACCATCTGGCAATATATCACTTGTTATCAACCGCCAGCAAATTGCACTCTCGATGCAAACAAACGTCAGTCGTCAACGCGCAAGCCACCGCCCAGCATGGCGCCACCAACCGGACTCGAGGTGCACACGCAAGCCGCCGATCCCTGGCTGAGAGGCCTCACTCGTAGGCCCAGCTCTGGGACGCCATCCAGCGCGGCAACACGGCCGACGCCATCGAGCTCCTAGCCCAAGGCGCGGACCCCGAGAGCCGCAACCCCTTGGTACCGGACGCTATCGCACAACAACGTCTGACAAAGGATTCCTGCGTAGCACGCCTGGACGCCGTTGCACGTCGTTGCGAGACAAGGCAACGTGGCGCTCACCGACATCCTCTTGGCCCTCGGCGCCAATGTGGACGCGCTCGACCAGGTGCGAAACACATACTCATAGTTTGATTTAAAGGTCCCATCGCCCGCTGTAGACAGCCTTCTCGCCGCTGCAATACGCAGTGTACGTCAAGACGTCTGGTCGCCTCGCAGTGGCGCATCGCCTCTTGCTCGCCAACGCCTCCATCGACGTCCCAGGCCAGGTATCCAACCTTTGCAGATATGTGTCGGCACGACACAGTCCGATACGTAGGCTGGCCAGGCGCTATTGAGTCTGACGGCCCGTGATCCGGACGAAGCCATGTTTGAGCTGCTGAGCGCACACAAGGCGGTCAGCAATCCATTCTTGATAGTAAACAAGGTCCCACGAACGCTCTGTAGATCCGCGATGCGACGCCAGACGACAAGGTGCGTGCCCAAGCCGCGCTGAGAACGTGGCTGGAAACACACAACGTTCCGACGACACGCAATGTACATGTAGTTTTGTTTGGACAGGATGCTGAGTGCGACGGCCTAGGACGACGATATGGCCATGTTGCTCCAGCGCGCGGCCGTCTATCGTTGCGCTCGCGTGTTCGATCGGCTCGCGAACGCGGGCGCGGACGTTACGACGTGCTTCTCGGTACATTTTTCATCTTCTGTGCATACGAGGTCTTATTTGCATGTGCATAGGATGGTCTCGACCTCCTCGCGATCGCTGTACTTCATGGTCACGACCGACTCGCGCGCAAGCTCTACGATCGCATGTACCCGTCGGTGGCATCGGTACGAGGAAATCTCGTTTAGTCTTGGTTGAGCCATCTGGTATAGATTGCTGCGACGGACGTGTGCATTGAAGTCCACGACCTTGGTTGTGGAAGCGACTATAGAGTGCGAAAAGGCGTCTACAAGGACGCGCCGGTTGCAATCAAGCAGCCTCGTTACGCCTCCCGGTTCCATTTGAAAATGTTGCGCGAGGACATCAAGCTGCAAAAGATGTGCGATCGGCCCAGTTCCATATTTTTGTCCAGATAAACTAACAACTCATGGGATAGGATTCGGTCGCCGTACATGCTACCGCTGCTCGCTACCGTCGACCTGGACCCCAACAATCCAATGATGGTGACGGAGTTTATGGACCAAGGCACCCTCTACGACTACCTTGACAAGAAGCGACGTGGAGAGCCCGTGGCCATCGAGGTCACGACGATGCAAGTCGCATGG